TAGTGGTGATTTGTGATATTTTGATGTACGCAGTGTGTAGTCTCTTATCCCTCACCCTTTCCCCTGAGTCCTCAAAGTCCATTGTATCATTATTATGCCTTTGCATTCCTATAGCTTAGCTCCCACTTATGAGTGAGAACATACGATATTTGGTTTTCCATTCCTGAGTTACATCACTTAGAATAATGGCCTCAATTCCATCCAGGTTCCTGCAAATGCCAGTATTTCATTCTTTTTATGGCTGAGTAGTATTCCATGGTGTGTGTGTGTGTGTGTGTGTGTGTGTGTGTGTGTGTGTGTGTGTGTCACATTTTCTTTATCCACTCATTAACTGATGGGCATTTGGGCTGGTTCCATATTTTTGCAATTGCGAATTGTGCTGCTATAAACATGCGTGTGCAAGCATCTGTTTTTTAGAATGACATTTTTTCCTTTGGGTAGATACCCAGTAATGGGATTGCTGGATCAAATGGTATTTCTACTTTTAGTTCTTTAATGAATTTCTAGGCTGTTTTCCATAGCTGCTATATTAGTTTACATTCCCACCAGCCGTAAAGAAGTGTTCAATGGGCCTTTCTTCTACTGAGCACAATACTGCACTCCGCTCTTCTGATATTTATGTAGACAGTAATAAAAGGAAAGTTGCGCAATGAAGACTTTCAGATAATTAAAGTGTGCTAAAGTCCTTGTGCTGTTCCAGACAAGAAAAAAGAGACCAAGGGTGCACTCTGTTAGAAAAAAAATCTTGTTGTAGAGAAATAACCACTAAACATTTAAAGATAGCCACTAAAAGATGAGAGATACCAAGTCAGTGGAGAAAAAGGCAGGACTATGGAATAAAGGAAGCTATCAAAATAGCAAAGGGCAAGAAAAGACGGGGAAGAAAAGGCGTGACCATGAAGGATGTACACAAATTCTAAATCCATCAGGGACCAGGAAACATACACTTCGTAATCTCACGGAAGAAGAGACAGATGTCAGTTGACTTCTCTTGCTGGTTCTGACGGTGCCAGCTGCCACATGGTGGGATGCTCTGTGGAGAGGCCCATGAGGCAAGGAATTCAGGGTGGCCGACAGCCGAAGCTCCCAGTAGCCCACCAGGGTGAGTCTTGACGACAAACTCAGCGTGGGCCCTCCTGGGAGGACCTTATGATGACCACAGCTCTGTGAGGGATGGAGGGTCAGAAGCCCCGGACACACTGTGCCCGGTTGCCTTACTCCAAGAATTGCTAGATCAAAAATATTGTCTGAAGCCTCTAACTTTTAATTTTTTATTCTCAAGAAAGCTGCTCCTGAGAACTGTGAAAACAACTTTCTCAGTCTGACTCCACCTCATTGCTCTGCAGAGCATGAAATTATACACCTTGTAGGACCCAGAAAGGCAGGATGCCTTTTCGCTTCCAGCTCTCCATTAGGGCTCCTATGCTCTTTGAGGGGAATTCTCCAAAGCCACACACAAATATTTTAGGGTTTTTCCTAAGAAACGATGAATCAAAACCAAAGCATAGTGTGTATAGAAAGCAATATTACACCTGCCCTGTGGAAATCTTTCCACCTCCTCCTTTCTCACTGGTCAAATCAGTATTACCTGAGTCCTAATCAGGGGACACTCAGAAATGCCCTCCCAGGGCAAACACCAAGGGTAGAGGGCAGAGGATTCTCTGATGCTCTCAGAGGCAAGAAAGCCTGAGAAACAGTTTCTACTCTTAGGTCAAGTTCCATCTGTCAAGACCTGAAGGTCGGTAAGGTGAAGTCTTCTGCAAAATAAAGACAGACAAGCATGTGCAGAGAACCCTTGATTTTAAAATTACCCTTCTGGAGACTTGACACTGTCCTAAAAGCAAAAAAGTGCATTTCCAGACTTCAAGGAAAATGCTTATCAAACAGAAAATTAAGTGCCTACCTGTTCTAAATGAATGGTTTATTCGAACAAATTATATTGCGTACTTTAGGTGATTTTGAAAGTTAGACCCCACATACATTATATAAGAATATTATATCTCTATTCATATCTGGGGAAAGAGATACAGAAACAAAAGTCTATTCGTTAAAGTCAAACTGGAAATTCAGTTTTGTGGGTTTTTTTCCAAATGGAGTCTTGCTCTGTTGCCGAGGCTGGAATGCAGTGGTGCGATCTCTGCTCACTGCAACCTCCACTTCCTGGGTTCAAGTGATTCTCCTTCCTCAGCCTCCCGAGTAGCTGGGATTACAGGCACCCACAACCACACCTGGCTAATTTTTGTATTTTTAGTAGAGATGGGATTTCACCATGTAGATCAGGCTGGTCTTAAACTCCTGACCTCAAGCAATCCACCCACCTCAGCCTCCCAAAGTGCTGGGATTACAGGCATGAGCCACCATGCCTGGCCCTGGAAATTCAACTTATAATTTAATCCGTTATGGTAGCTAACAGAAAATAAATTTTGTTTGTGTCCAGAGAATCTGAAAAAATTGCAAAGGATTTTCATACTTAAGGAAGGAGGCTATAAATGCAAGAAGAATTTGAGTTTTGTCTATGCTACTGTTTGTTTGTTTGTTTGTTTATTGAGACAGATTCTTGTTGTGTCCCCCAGGCTCGAGTGCAGTGGTCCGATCTCGGTTCACTGCAACTTCTGCCTCCCAGGTTCAAGCAATTCTCATGCCTCAGCCTCCTGAATTGCTGGGATTACAGGCATATGTCACTATGCCCGGATAATTTTTGTATTTTTAATAGAGATGGGATTTCACTATGTTGGCCAGACTGGTCTCAAACTCCTGACCTCAGGTGATCTGACTGCCTCAGCCTCCCAAAGTGTTGGGATTACAGGCGTGAGTCACCACGTCTGGTGATACTACTGTATAGAGGAATCTATTTTGCCTCTTTGTAAGTCTTTACACCTATGCTATATGTACCCCTGCTGGCTTTCAGCTAGCTTCTGACATACAGCAAATGTGGGGAAAGGTCACAGCCCAGGCTACACTCCATCATATCCACAGCAAGGTAAACTCGAACAGCTAAAGCCTGGGGGTATGAAAATAATCTTACAAATCATAGTGGACATTCTCGGCTCTCACATGCGTGACAAGAATATTTGGGGGACCATCAGGTATCAGTAGAGGGAATTTTAAAGATCATGTGGCCTAATCTATTAATTTCACAGATGAGAGAACTGAGGCTTAGATAGATTAAAAAGACGTGTCTAAGTTGCATCATGGCAAGGTGAGAACTAGAATTCAGTCCTCACTCAGCCCTGTACACTGTTTCTTCACCTAAGTATACATATAGAAAAAACCATAGATTCTAATAACTTTTTGGACTACAGGATTTTTCCAATGGTACAGTCATCCAAATTTAATATATTGATATTTTCATATTTTTAAAAACTTTTAAAAATATATGCACAACACAAACACATCTTGATAATTCCTATGCATTGTGTATCCAGTGCTTACACACAGAAGGGGCATTCTCTGGAGTTTGCCCTGGGTCAGAGCCTTCTCACCTCCCAGCACCAGCCAGTAACTTAAGCCTCAGTCTCCTGGCTTCGGTGCACTGGGCAGGAGATGTGGTTCCCAGGACCACTCAGCCAGGTGGTTCCTTCAGCTCTCAGCACACAACCGAGTTCAGGCTGCAGGCTTTCCATCACAAGCCAACTACAGAGTGACGCATGTTCTCTACACATGCCGTGACTGAGTACGTTGTGTTCTGAAAATATTGGGGAGTTAATTCGTGTGTTGTGCCTACTGCTTCGTGGACCTGTGCTCATTGCATACTTACAGCCATCTACAAGGGTGTCACCATTATTTGTATCTTATTAGGCTTAGAGAGGTGAAGTGACTTGCTCAAAATAACACGGTTAGCAAATGACTGAACCCACATCCAACAGGGAGAATGTGGGAAGAAATCAACAAAGCTTGTCTAACAGATATCTGCCAAGGGTTGGAAAAAATAAGATTTATTGTTGCTCCACTGAGCAGAACACAGCCCATCAGAGGTTACTGCACCTTTAACAGCATGTGCTTTTAACTGACTCATCAAAACACTGGTGGCCAAAGAGTACTAAATAACTTGCCTGTCATACTTAATCTCTCTAGGGTTCAAAGAGAGGGGTAGAGTGAAATGACCTGTAAGACCCCTGAGCCTAAAATATAATCTAATAGACTCAGCTTTACCGCGGTCATTGAGAGGATGGCCAACAACCGGCCGCCACCGTGCAAAGCATGATTTCTCCACCATCTGCACTTCACTCGCACAAATACCCCAGTGAAACACTTCTTTCTCTCCACCCACTTTGAGTAGGATGAAATGGCACATTCCATTTTCAAAGTGGGCAGCTTGCACGTATCAGCAGTACCAGGAATTTGGAAAACGATAACGTGGAACCCACAAACTTGCTGGCTGAATTTTCTCACCCAGGTAACCCAGGTTGATTAGGGCTAGAGAGCCATGGGGATTTTAAATGCCGCTTCAAAGCCAGCCAGGAGCAGAATCAGCGCTGATTTGCGTTTATGATAATGACCTTTGAAAGGCTAAAGATTACAAGGTTGTTTACAGAGATGGACTTCGAAAATAATTGTATCTAAGGTCTCGTAAACATAAAAGAAAGTTGTTTTGTAGTAGATGATTGAAACAAAAACTTTCCTTTAAAGAGGAAGTAAATAGACTAGTTTCAGACAAAAACAACTTCAAAGGCAATCAGAAAATTCCGTGGAATTTTACAGAGGGAATCTCACTCAAAGAATTCTCTAAAATTGCCTAAACTTAAAAGCATTATTTTTCTTGAGACATCTAATTTAGATTGCATACCAAACCCTGTAATAAACCTCCTGCAAAGGAATAATAATAGACCATAGGCATTATATATGTTCAGTGTTCACTGCGTGTAAATACAATGATTGACCTTCCATGAACAGACAAGAGGCATAACTCCATGGTAACAGAGAAATAGAGGTCACTATCATATTTTCCAAGGCAATTTTTGGCCCTCAGGAGGGATTCACTATTATACTTGGAGGCCATGTCACCTGAGAGTCAATGGACAACGATCAAATTTCACCTTGAGCAGGTTCTTTTGTTTACTTTCTAGTCACAAATAGCTTGGCCCTAAGTGGCGGCTCCCATTCTGGTAAGATGCGTTTATTCATCGCGTAATCACCAGTTCCCTGTACTGGGGGTGTGGATGGGGCGTCAGAGGCTCCTGCTGGTCTTTAGGGTGTCTGACCTCCATTAATCCTAGAGGTAGTATTTGGAGAGATTTTTAAAAGCTTTGTTTCTGTGACCAGCAAAACCTGAGTTTGACACTGAGGTCAGCCTATTGCAGCCAGTGACTTAACCTGTCTTTTTGCCCCAATAAATTGTGAACAGCAGCACCCGATCTTAGAGCTGTTGTGAAAATTAAAGAAGGTGATGATTAGACAGCACCTAGCCCAATACCTGAAACTGTACCAGCACCCAGTGAGCATAGCTATTCCCGTGACCACCACACATTTACCTTATCTCAGCAGTGTGCTGTGTCACTTTTTCGGAAAGAGTGAGCAGATGATAGAGACCATTTTAAAATATGAAATATAAGTGTATTATTTAAACAATTTCCCCTTGGCTCATATAGGTTGAAACAGAAATTATTTTGTGGGTTGTGAAGTTGAATGAGATGTATTACTAAGCTTTTACGTAACATAGGAATAAAAACCATTGTTGTATCTCTGATGCAGATACATAAAATATACAGATGCATAAATGTTCATATGTGTCTGTATATATATACATATAAATTTAGTCATTTCATAGATCTTGGGTAAATGACATTAACAAGCAAAATACAGAGAATTTCATTTGTTATGAATAACAAATATATTACAGAAACAAAACGGCAGCATCAAAAACAGCACTTTAGCAAGTATGGAGTTTGTAATAAAAAGCTTTTTTATAGGCTAATGTCAAGACATTCACAGCAGTTTAACTGAAGAATCTGCAAAATTTAGCAGTTATTCCAATCCCTTCTATGTTAAGGATTACCTTTAAATCAATATCTCATTTTCTCTCTAAAATCTATTGAAAGAAAGAAAAAAAAAAACACAACAGAACCATGATTGTTCCTCTGGCTAATGGTGCCACACATAAAATGCTCAATCACAGGGTGACTTGAAAAGGTTCAAAGCAGAACTTCCAAATTTAAGCTGCTATTGCTTTCCCTGGAAACTGAAGGAAAGAGGCCAATAGCTATTTGACAGTGAAGTTAGAATTTTTATAAAATATTTTCTTTGAAAAATCCATTATATATATAAAATATATATTTTATATAATATATATATTTATAAAATATATATTTTATATATTATATATTATATTAATATATAATATATTTTTATGTAATATATATTATATATAATATATGTAATATATTTATACATATTATATATATATAAATATATATAAAATATACATATTTTAGAGTTTTGCTCTTGTTGCCCAGGCTGATATGTGTGGTGCGATCTCGGCTTACTGCAACCTCCACCTCCCAGGTTCAAGCAATTCTCCTGCTTCAGCCTCTCATGTAGCTGGGATTACAGGCACCAACCATCATGCCCGGCTAATTTTTGTATTTTTGGTAGAGATGAGGTTTCACCATGTTGGCCAGGCTGGTCTCGAACTTCTGACCTCAGGTGATCTGCCTGCCTTGGTGTCCCAGAGTACTTGAATTACAGGCATGAGTCGCCGTGCCCAGCCAAAAATCCATAATATATTTCTATAATGTCTTCTTTACTGTGAATTCTCTAAGACAAACAACTATGTATATTAAAACAACGATGTATATCACAGAATTTAGGTGATTTAGGTCTTTATTAAACAACCCTTCACTCTCTTCTCCTCTGAACATGATGAACCTCCCTAAGGAATAAAGTCAGGACATTTTAAGGGTTTGGGCAAATGAATCATTTTACCTTCAATTTCAGAAAATAGGTCTTAATGAAAGCAAAAAGAAATCTCATTTTCCAAGTGATATGACACATCAGGAGAAACACAGGCTTTAGAGAATATACACACTTAAAAATGGATTATTTGCAATTTTTAAGCACAAAACGCACATCAGGAGAAACACAGGCTTCTAGAGAATATACACACTTAAAAATTGATTATTCACAATTTTTAAGCATAAAACAAGACACAGTGTGTGCACACACGTGCACTGCTGCTTTCTGTTGCTGGACGCGGGCACTATCTTTGGGGCTGTCGTCCTTGCTAGCTAGTCAACACTGCACTTGTGTTGTAGCCTTCAAGGCCTAACCCTGGTTTCTGACATTACTTGGCAGGGTTGCTATGGGAACAGTGACTTTGTGTGTCCCTGAGGGAACAAAGGGGGATTGCCATTAGCGGACTTCAGAGCGGGCCTGGTGCCCTATTGGTACAGGATTGCAGAACAGCACATTCAACGTTATGGCCAAGGCAAAATTCCATGCATACTCCACATGTCTTCTTCCAGCAAACACGTCTTTAGTGCATGTTATTGCCACAGCCTTGGGACAGGGGCCAGGACAACAGCGAGACTTTTCAGGGCTGGGCAGGGATCGCCCGTCAAGAGCAAGGGGCAGGGTTTTGAATCATGTCTTTTTTCTTCTGAATCCCAAATGACAGCTGTTTCCAGGAAATTTCAGTTTCTGTTGTCATTTTTTTTTTTTTAATGTTGGGGTATGTGTAAGACTAATTTTAAAGTCCACGAACAATCTGTCAGATAGCAGTCTGACTTTCCCAATTCCTGCCCAAAACCAAAATGAGCTAAACTCACGCACCTGGCTAATGGGTACAGACCACTTTTGTGAAAAATTAGAGGCAATTTGAGAAATCTATTTAATAGATTTAATAATGATTTATTCTTTAATAATATTTAATTATGATTAAAAGTAAAGCTATTACACCCAGCGAGTTTGCTCCTATAACTATATAACTGTTCACAGACAGAATATCTTCATTTAGGACATTCCCTTTATTAATTTGACCTTAAAATATTTTGACTTTATTATGCATAACATTCATATGGTAAAACATATGAGTCACAAGTATCTGATTCATTTACAGAAAAAATGAGCACATAAATACAAGTATCATTCAGATCAAGTAATAGAACATTATTACCATTCCAGAACCCTCCTTCATACCCTTGCAATCATAGCCCTTCAAAAGGTAACCAGGCAAGGCATAGTGGCTCATGCCTATAATCCCAGCACGTTGGGAGGCTGAGGTAGGAGGACTGCTTGAACTCAGGAGTTCAAGACCAGCCTGGGCAACATGGCAAAACTCAGCCTTTATTTATTTATTTAATTTATTTATTATTATTATTACAAAAATAATAATAATAAATAAATAAACACAAAAATTAGCTGGACGTGGTGGTGTGCGCCTATAGTCCCAGCTAGTGGGGAGCCTGAGGTAGGAGGATCACTTGAGCCAGGGAGGCTGCAGTGAGCCAAGAGCATGCCACTGCACTCCAGCCTGGGCAAGAGTGAGACCCTGTCTCAAAACAAAATAAAACAGAACAAAACACAATAGATAGCCACTCTTCTGATGTCTGTCATTATAAACTTATTTTACTGTGTTTTTTTTACTTTACATATATATATAGAATTATATGTATCAAAGAGAATATACTGACTCAGCAATCTGTCTTATGGGTATTCATCTGTAGTTATTTTTCATTGCTGTCTACATTCTGTGGTATGAATATAAACACGATATAGCGTAATACTATTCATGGACATTTGAGCTGTTTCCAGCTCGGGGCTCTTTATGGAAAAAGCTACTGTAAACATTTTCACCAATATCTTTTCTGTTGGTACTAGGCATGCTTTTCTCATGGGTATATTCAGAGACGAGGAATGTTTGTTCACTGGGTAAGCCTAAATTCCTTTTAGTAGATACTGCAAATAGTTCCACAAAGTACCCTTTCCAGGTAGATTAGGCTCTGGCCAGAGTTAATGAGAGTCCATCTTTGTCAACACTTTGAATTGTCAGACTTTTTTTTTTTTCTTTTTTTGTGCCGTTTTGGCAGGTGTGCTATCTCATTCTCATTCATTCATTGTCATTTTAATTTGTACTCAGAAGATCCTTGGTGCTCACCATTCAGAGCACTTATTTGGAGGATGTGTGTGTGTAGTGACTTTTGAAGCTTTCAGGCCATTTTGCCTTCAATTGAATGTTCTTTTCCTATTAGTTTGTAGTAGTTCTTTATATATATTCTATGTGTGAACCTTTGTTGAATATATATACTATAACTATCTTCTACACTGTGGTTTGCCTTTTGATTCTCTTAATGGTATATTCTGTAACACAGAGTTCTAATTTAAAGCACTAGTTTTCAGTCCTTTTTTCTTCTGTGGTAAGTCCTCTGTGTATATGTTTATTGTTTTAGAAATCTTTGATTTCTCCAAGGTCTTCTCAGTATGTTTTCATGACCGCTTTTAGAAAATAGTTTTGCTGATTTTTCTCATTTCAATCCAAAACACCTGGAATGATTTTTGTTTATTGTGTGAGGTAGGGATCAAAGGCTTTTTAAAAATATGGATATACAATGGAAACAATCCATACATATAAGAAAGATTGTTTTCCCTCAATGCATAGCAAAGAGGTTTTTTCCCTCTTATTTCTTTCCTCACAAATCATGTGAATAGTAAATGTGGGTTTTCTTCTGCACTCTATTCTATGACACTGACTTATTTGTCTGTTCTCACACCAATCAGCACTATGCCATTTTCATTGCTGCAGCTTTAAGATGGTTTGAGATCTGAGAGTAAAAGACCTCTAACCTTTTTTTATATTCTCAGTTTGTCTTCATTATTTTTGATCCTTTTTGTTTTCATATACATTTTAGGATCAGCTTTTCAATTTGTAAAACAGAAGGACTGAGATTATGAGAGGAGTTACACTGAATTTTTAAATCAATTTGGGAGAATAAACTTAATTACAATATTGATTCTTAGAATCCTTCAATAATGTATACTGTTTATTTTCTTAAGACTTCTTGAATATCTCTCAGTAATGTTTAGTTTTCTGTGTAAAAGACTCTTGCACACATTGCTTTTATTCCTAGAAACTTTATTTTATCTGCTACTGTAAATGTTTTCACTTTAAATAAAATTTTTAAACAGTTCATTAAAGTATATGGAAACACACTCGATTTCTCACATTAGCCTCTCATCAGTAACGCGGTTAAACTCACCGACTTATTCTAAGAGTTGATCTGTATATCCGAATACATTTTCTATCCATGCAATCATGCTGACTATACAAAATCACAGTTTTACTTTGTCTTTCCAATTCTCATGACTTTTCCTTTGTTTGCCTTATTGCAGTGAAGAGAACCTCCCATGTACTATCGTGTAGAAGTTGTAGTAGACGCTGTGGTCTTTCCAACAACAAACAAAGTAAGCTTTTGAAGTTTTATTATCAAGTATGACAACCTCTGTAGGGTTTTCTTGAGATACCCTTTATCGGATAAACGAAACTTCTCTCCGTAGTTTGCTACCAATTTTATTTTGAACAGGTGTTGAAAATACCAAGTGCTCATTTTGTGCCTACCGAGATGCTCCTGTGACGTTTAATGGTAATATAATAAATCACAATTGTTTGAATTTTAAATCTTAGCACACATTTATAGAATAAACCCAACTTGGTTGTAATGTATAATTCTTTTTATATGCCACAGATTTGGTTTGTTAATATTTTGTCTAGGAGTTTTGTATCTATGCTTATGAGAACAATCTGCCTCTCATTTTCCTATCTTACAATGTCTTTGTGAAGTTCTGTTATTAAGATTGCGCTGGCCTCGTGCAGAGAGTCTGAAGTGTTCCTGCCTTTGCCATTTTCTGGTTGAGTTCATGGACGGTTAGTGCCAGCTCTCCCTCCAGTGTGTTTAGTGATTGAATGATTCGGTCCTCCGGACTTGACTTTTCTTACTGAGAATGTTTCAAATTATAGGTTCAATTCCATCCATAAAAATGGAATTATAAAGATTTTGTACTTATTGTTTTAGTTCTGGAAAGTGGTATTTTTCAAGGAATCTGCTCATGCCATCTAAGATTTCAAATTGATTTGCAAAACATTGGTCATGATACTCTCTGTTTCCTAATCCAAAGAACCTGCAAATATGTTTTTTACCTGGTAAAAGGAACTTGGCAGAGATGACTAAATCGAGGATCCAGTCATGCTAACATCTCACAAGTAAGTATCTCTGTTCCAACCCTCTTCCCTGAGCTTGAGACCCTCAACGCCCCAGCACAGCGCTGCTAACCAAGTGTCTTACCATCTTGGATGTTCCACAGGGAGGAACCAAACCTTTGAGCATCTGTGCATCTCCCTCTCCTTCCTTTCCTGGATTCCTCTATCTCAATCAGATCATCATCTACTCAGGTCCTTAACCCACAACTGGGTTTATTTTAGTTATTTGTTTAACATTTAGTGGCTTCACATTATTCCTGCAGAAAAAAGAAAAAAAAAAAGTGAATTTTTTACCCAGGTCTGCAAAAGCTTCTAAGACATGACCTGTAGCCACCCACACCTGGAAGCTCCAGCCTTGTCTCTCCCCAGTTCACTCAGTAAGCACTGGACACAGGGCTGAGGTGGGACTTCCATGCCGGTGGCTTACTCTGCCTGGAAACCTCCTTTCTCTCTCCCCACTTCCTAGGCTCCGCTCAGGTGCTATTTTACCATAAACCCTCCAGGCTGTTCTCTCTGGAAATGCCTCTCTCTTCTTCCCTTTACCTTCCATCTGAATTGCAGGATGTCTTCTTCCTAACAGTCAGGACGGGTCTTCATAGCGTTTATCCTGCTTTGCCATCTGCATGTCCCACAGGGCTGAGAGCTACAAGGAGCCCGAATCACACCTCCAACTCCCCCAGAGTACGGGAACGGGTTCAGAATGTTCTTCCTGAAGGTAGGATATAACATGAAGAGTGGTTATTTCAGGGTTATGGAATGAAGAGTAATTTTTTTGTTTTCTTTATTAGACATTACCAAATGAACCTGCTTGGTGTTAACCACATATGGCTTTTATAATCGGAAAAACAAAACAAAACTGACAGTAAAAATACATAGAGGAAGCATTTATTATGTAAAATATTATCGTTAAAACTGCGTTGGTATTAAATGATGGTGATTAGAGGGTATTACCTTTGTCTTCAAATTGGAAAGCCTCAGCTGTCCAGAACAATGATTTGCCCAAACACTCCATTTAATTCGAGTTGCACTGTCTGTATTTTGTAACAATAAGATTGTTGCTTCTATACCCTACACATGTGCAGAGAGATGAAGGGAAGGTATATACTTCCAACTTCATTTCTAATCTTGGGTCCAAGTCAAGGGATTTTATTTCCAATGCTTGGTCTTTACAATTTTTCTTTTTTCTCATTTCTCCTTGATTTTCCAAAAGGGAAAAGGGGGAACTTCTGGGTTTTGTTTTCAGTATTATTCCCAAAAGACTTCAAATGAACGTATAGGACTCCGGGTTGAACACAGTTGCCTTTCTGGCCTGAGGGTATAAACTTTTTCTTAGGCAAATTCCCTGCTGACTTCCCAAAATAGCAGATAGTAAATGTGGTCCCATATGTTTTGGTTCTAAACAGATGTATTTATGTGGATTTGTAAGTGAGTCACATCTATACTGTTATTTTACTCTAGAGTAATTGGGCCAAGCACTGTGGCTCACGCCTGTAATCCCAGCATTTTGGGAGGCCAAGGTGGGAGGATCACCTGAGGTCAGGAGATCGAGATCAGCCTGGTCAACATGGTGAAACCCCTTCTCTACTAAAAAATACAAAAATTAGCCTGGCATGGTGGTGCGCACCTATAGTCCCAGCTCCTTTAGGAGGTTGAAGCAGGATAATTGCTTGAACTAGGGTGGTGGAGATTGCAGTAAGCTGAAATTGTGCTACTGCACTCCAGCCTGGGTGACAGAGTGAGACTCCATCTCAAAAAATAAATAAATAACACAAATAAATAAGTAGAGTAATTGGCAGAGTATTAAGGAGTCATTCTCCTGCCAGCCATGCTGAATGCACACACCCTCGTGGCAGTGAACAGCATCCTCTGGATGTGAGCTTAGTGCTGAGGACCAGCACGCCTTTGCTAGTGTCCTCAAAGGGAAGGCCCCCAAGGCTTGGAGAGCTGACACGCTGCCCGGGCTCTCAGACTCGTGCCACTTGAAAGTCTCTTCTCTCCTTTGTCTCGTGACCACTATGGTGCAGGTTCTGTCTGCATCTTTCCCATCCTCCCCACCTTCCCCCAACAGTTGCCCTCAAGCTTCAGTTCCTAAAGTAGAAAAGAAATAAAAATAAAGCCAAACCAGTACGATGACTCACTGGTGAGCCAAGTATAATTTTCCTTTAATACCGCACAGCATATAAGGCTAATTTTGAGACAGCTCACTTTCCCCCATGGAATAGCCAGATAAAGTCACTTTCTTGAGGAAATACAGCTGCTTCCAAAGAGAAAAGAAATGACTTTCTCCATGGTGATCGCCTGTTTGGAAGGTCCCAAGGCTACCTTCAGTGCCCCCTTCGCCACCTCCTCCACTGGGAGTATCGCAGGAGTCGAAATCCCAAGCGTGGTTCTTCCACAGCCTCTTTCTCATGGCCTGAAATGTGCTTTTACTGGAAAACACTCTGATACGTCCTGAAGCTAAGTGCTTCTTAGAATACGCTGTGATGTAACAAAGCAGAACATGATGGAAATCACCCCGTAAAAGCCGAGTGAGGGCAAGCATTCCCCAACCAGGCAGCGTGAGGCTTGTCTGACGTTCACGCACTTCTAACAAGAAACGAGGTAGCTCACACTCAACGCCGTTACTTAAGTAAGGTTAATGGAACAGCAGAGAGGAAAAAGCACAAGAACTGAGGAAGACACAGAGCCACGGGCTCCCCGCCAAACACCTTTGGTGATTGCTACAGAAGACAACACAGGGAATCTGCCCTTAACTCCTTGAAAATAGGATGTGAGCAAGTTTTCAGTGTTAACAGGAACCGAGACAAAAACGTTCACATATTTTGTTAGCATCTGTGCTTTGGGACATGAGCTACGTTCTTGAAAATTCTGAGTTTGGGCTACGTGATTTTATGAGGCAGAGAATTCACAATAAAGCCGTATACAATCATTTGTTCTATGATGGAAATGTTCAAAGAAATAACCTCTTCCTGGGTACTAAAGTGGACATTAGGATTGACTGGAAAGATTAGCCCTCTTTATATACAAAAACAGGTTTGGGGAGAGGATCGTCGAAGAGGTGGAGAGGCAGCCTCAGAGAGAGAGAGAGAACAACCTCGGATGAGTCACTCAACTCTGCTAAACTTCAACTTATCCCTGTGAAAATGAGGATAATGATACCTGTTCTTACGATGTCAGGCAGGTGTCATGGTTATGACAGCAAATGAGAGGCTTCATCTGAAAGCGTTAACCAACCTGGAGACAGTATTTACTCCCACTGAAGGCAGCTCTGTTCATGAGCTTTGGCACAGAAACTGGTTTTCAGAAACAAATCCGTTAGAAAAAAGGTACTCAAAGTTTATTTATATAGAGTTTGTTTGCATTACATTCCTAGAAACAATGTTTGGTTTTCCAAAGAGCGTAGATACACTATGTTTGGCTGTAACATGATAATTGTGTTTCCAAGAAAGCTTATACTGCTAGAGATTATTTTATAAACTATTGATTCTGTGGGAAAAGTTTGGGAATGAAAGTTGGATGGTTTCAGATTTACAACTGAATCATTATTTTGCAGATAGGCATTTTAGTAAGTAGGAGATTCAGTATCACAGATGTATAAAGGTAAGCCTCCACATCACGGAGTGATTCTTTCATTTGAATGCACTGATGCTTCTCACACAGAGTGGCCTTTGCCTCCAATCTACACCAGCACCATCATTTTACAGGCATCTCATGCATTCTAGATAATTTTCTCACTCACTATCACAATGTTGAATGCACAGAGCTACTCCAAGTGTCTCTATTGCCTGGACAATAACCCTGGGTAACAACCAATTACTGGCTTCTCGGGCAAATTCCGTTCCCAGAATAATCTATCTCTTTTTAGCCATTTAAAATAATACAACCTCTTGCTGTAGAATTAATGTCTGTATTGACTTTCATTTCAATTTTTAAAACAAATTAAACTTCCCGAAACCCATTTCCAGGTTAGACTGAATAGCAACAGTGGCGATGATAATAATAGTAATAAAATGGTTCTTACTTATTGAGTGCTTACTCTAATGCTTCAGCAGCATTTCAGTGTCACTGGTGAAGGTCATTTGGTATTGCAATATTTTACAGGGAACAAGCACATCAGAAAACCGCTTCTCTGTGGTTCAGCTGCAGTCTATATTCCCTGAGCTACTAAATTGTAGCCACAAACCAGGGATCCAAATAATAACAAGAACACCTCTAATCCCTGAGTGTTTAACCTAGGTGAAACTTGCTAAATGCTTTGTGTATAGATTATCTTACTTAACCTGAACAATGAAAGTTAAGAGATAGGTACAGTTATGCTCATTTTATAGGTTAAAAACACTAAGCTTCAGAAGATTGAGTATCTCCTCTAGAATATTACAGCTAGGAATGTATCAAATCATGATTTGAACCTAGGTATGGGCAACTTCAACATTTCAACTTTAAATCACGGCTTCATTTGAGGGGAACAAAAGAATTGTTATAAATTATTTTATGTGTCTCAACAGAGCAGAATGTTTAAATTTCTATTAAACATAGACTACCCTACAAAGTGGGGTATGAATTATAAAACAAACAACTTTTATTAGAGCCACACTCAGTTTGCCCATATCCTAAGCTATCATCCGCTTCCATGGAACATCTGTGAATAGAGCTGGACTAGCTGTCTGAACTCAGCACTAGCTATAGACTTAAGTTGATAAAGAACTTGTATATATATTTATACACACACACATATATATATACACATGTGTATATACACACACATATATACACATAGACATATATTCAGAGGGAAAGTTAGGGCAGCAGGAACACTGTTCAGACAGATCTGGGATCATGGAAAGAAAACTGTTTTCTGGCCCCTTGATTTTTAATATGTGTCTTTTTTTTTTAACTTGTGTTTTACGTTCAAGAACACATGTGCAGTTTGGTTATATAGGTAAATTGCATGTCAGAGGGGTTTGCTGTACAGCTTATTTCATCACCCAGGTAATCAGTACCCAATCAGCAGTTTTCTCTACTCTCCCTCCTCCCACCTCCACTCTCAAGTGGACTCTGATGTCTGTTGTTTCCTTCCCCGAGTCTCTGTGTACTCAGTATCCAGCTCACACTTATAATTGAGAACGTGTGGTTATTTGGTTTTCTGTTCCTGTGTTAGTTTGCTTAGGATGATGGCCTCCAGCTCCACCCATGTCACTGCAAAGGATATCATGTTGTTTTTTTTAATGGCTGCATAGTATTCCCTGGTGTTTATGAAACATTTAATCTTTGCCTGGATTCAAAAAGACTTCTGAGTAAACTAAAGCCTTCCCCAGCCCCTCACCAACCACATCTCCTCAATTCAGAATAGAGACATAAAGCTCTTATTTCTGCAGCTGCCAGGAGAAAATAGTTTAGGATCTAAAACTAGTGTGGAAGTTGTCTATATCTAATAACACTGTGGAGCAAATAAATTCATGGCTTAATTAGGGGTACCTCTGGTAACTTCTTTATCTTTATCAAAGTTTCACTGGAAAACTACACTGCTTCAAAGCTGATCATGATGGAGATTATTTTGATATATGTTAATGCCTCCATGAGCAAATGCTATGGGCAGTTTTAAGATGTTCCAAATTAAATCATCACAGCCATACT